TAAACTCCATTAGCTGACCATGGTCACTGTGTTAAGTTTAAGAGCTCTTTCCATGCCTTGTACGGGCTGCTTCTTAACCGCGACAAGTCATCGATTCATCTGTTTCCAAAGCGGATAAGGTTTGGATGTTGGCAGGAACTACTGGGTCAAAGCAGACTGCTGTAGATTTTATAGACGGCATTGACTTTTCTTAAAAGACACCCTATCTTTATAAAACAGTTTACATGATCTCTATGCTTATTTTCCTGTACGTTTAAGGGCTTTTCAGTGAGCTAAAACAGAAAGAGTCTTCTAAACCATAGTTCAGTGTCCACCACAATACTTGTAATAGGATAACTTTGTCACCATTTTTTAATGTAATATATTTTGCTCCCAAAATTAAATCACAAAACTGTGATTCTGCATCATGTGATTTTTGTTTATTTGGCCAAGTAGATGGACTCTCGCTTTCTTTTTTTTTTGGTGGTCTTAGATACTGAAGCTTGGAGTGTAACTCACACCAAAGTCCTCCTTTTTTCAATGTAAACTGTAAGGCGTGAATCTATAGGGTGCTATTTATAGTTATGCTTTTTTTACGTTTACATCTGATATATTTTATTTCTGCAATATTTGTGCCAAAACCAGCAGCTATTGCGGTTGAATTTTCCCATTGGTTCAGGTGATTGGTAGAGATATTTTTCACAGATAAAGGCCTTCAGCCACCATGGCTCCAAACTTGTGAGAGGCAGTGGCAGAGGGACTATACAGTATATTGATCTGTTGTTAGTGGAAATTTTTCAGTTGCTTTAGTTGTTTATTCCTAATACTGCAAAAGAGACATGTTCAATGGTTTGAGGGCATCAGTGCTTATTTATGTAAGTGAGTGTGGTCAGCTGATATGATGTCTTTCTTTCTTGAGTCCATTGACACGACATTACAAAAGTCCTAGGGCTGCAATTAACGATTCTTTTTCAAATCAATTAAACTGTTGATTGGCAACTGTTTCAATTAATTGATTAATAATGGGATAGCAAAAAGTTCCTTGAAGAAGATGTTTTATGAAACATGAAATGAAGCCAGGTGAAAATAAAACTTCAGAGCAGCGACATCGTATATATATTTTTTAAAATATAATTAATTAATGATAAATAATTTTTTTTTATTAATTACTGCTCTAAGTTGGTTGCTCTGTCTCTACACTCAAGTTAATGATTAATTGATTACTGACTGCAAAAAAAAGAAAATTAAAAACAATCCACTGGGTTTTGTTTCCAACTTGGAAGAAACCCCCCAGTGAATTGTTTTTAATTTATTTTTTTGGAATGAGTTTGACTGGATGACTGAGAACCTTCAGCAGCAAATTGATTACTGAATTAGTTGACTATTATTTTAATGATCGTTTAATCATGATTAATCCGATTTATTGTTTCAGCCCTAAACTTTACAGTGATTTAGGATTTACTTTTTTTAATTCAAAGTAAACGTCTTCAACATTGATACTGCAGGGTTTAAATAGCTTACACCTACACCTCAAGATGAATCCAGATACTATCACCTAGGGTGAAGGATTTTGTGAAAAATCTAAATTGTCATTAATCTCAAACAATATTGCAATTGCAATTTTTATTACGATTCCCCTTTAAACTAAGCAGAAATATGTAGATTTTTCACTTGAGGGTTTCAGTTCTTCCATGACCTTGTTGCAGGACTTTAGTGTAAACCTTGTGTACTGTACTGCTTGCAACTGTCTCTTCCATTCTGTGCATTGGGCAAAACAATTTCAAGCATATCACTGCCACCTAAAAGGCTGCAGGGAGAAATGTATTAACCTCATTTACCTGACTGTTGTTAAATGTAAGGTAACTAAAATTGAGTGCAATTTGAAAATTGCGTTTTGGTAAATTGTGATTATATTGCAAATGCTATTAATGGCCCAGCCCTGGATAGTTCTTAATAAATACTTCATAAATCAGATATATAGTGTTTACATGATATGAAAACATTTTTTTTCCTTAGTAAAAAATGGACACTGTGCTCAGTATTGCAGCTCCTGCTATGGGACATTTCTTGAAACATCTTTGTGTTTTTCAAAAACTCCCCACTGTTAGTTGGACCTTTAACCCTAAAACCTTTATAGAAGCCCTACAGAAACACAACAGTTTCTGAACAGAAATAGTACAGATTGAGACAAAGAATTATTTTGGATGAATAAGGGAATGTTTCCCATCAGATAATAATGTAACATATGCCCTTTTACTCTGAAAGTCAGTGTTATTTGATTAAACACCCTCTTCATAGCAGATGATGGACTGCTGGCTGGTTTTCTTTTTGTCTCTGTTCATTGAGAACTGATGACAGATAAATTGTTCTTTTTGTCTGGACCCTTCTCCTTCTCAGAAGCTGTGTCATTTTGTTGGATTCCCAGAGAGGAGCATGATTATAGGTACCTTGTGGAGCATAAAGGCAGAGTTAAGAGAGCTTTTAAATTGAAGGGTGGGGTACTTAATTCGATTAGGTGAGTTGCCATCACAAATGCCTGTTCTTCTGCCTGTCATTATCTCCAAAGCAATGCTGGGATCTGGTTTAGAAAATACTTATTAGATTCGGATCATATTTTTTTCATTCCTCATTTTTTTAGGTGCGCTTATTCTCCTGCATAATGCCTTTCTTTATTTTTTCTCTTTACAGTTGTTTCGCTAAACACAAATCTGAAACTAGATGCATAAAAAGATTTTTCTTTACATCACTGCACAGCTGTAGGAAAACACGTGCAACTCAAGCGTGTTTCAATGGAAACCTCTGTTTTGAGGATGTATTTTTAATTGATTTCTGCTGCATGTTAGTCACTCATAACCACATCCAGCTGGAGGTTATTACAGGTCTCCTCCGGCAGCTTTGAAGCGGAGCTAAAATGTGGCCGTCCATCAATTGAAAATTTTAGTGGCCTATTTTATTTTAAGTGGTTGTTTTAGTTACAAGTTGAGTTTTTGAACAGTTTGTGCTCTGGTCGGTTCATAGTGTACTTTTTAGTTAGTTAACATGAAATTTTGCAAATAATCCTTTAAACCAAACAATAACCAGTTGACATATTTTGTGGAAACCTCTTTTGATATAATTAGAACATTTAGATCATTTTCGATTGATTTTCTTGTTCAAAACTGAAACACAGGGATACTGGTCACAGAGGCATTTCTTAGATTAATAGCCACACTGTATGAACTGAAGCAATTTCCTAAAAAGTTGTAGTCTGGTTAATCTGCTGTGGTAGTGTCACAAAAATAGATGTCTCAAGAAAACTCCTAGAAGAACACTTTTCCTACTGTGAACATGGTATTGGTAGCATCATGGTGTGGGGTTCACTTTCCTCTGATGGAACAGTGAATTTTGTCAACTTTGAGAAGAGTTGAGCCAGCGTCCATAGCTAAATCCGTCAGAAAATGTATTTAAATTTGAAGAAAACTTTGGACATTGCATATTCTTAAACCAATAGATGTAGAAAATGTTTTCAGATTACAATTTGACTGAGTGCTGAGTAACTGCTTCACATTAGGTGTGTTTATATAGATGCAAATAATTGGAATAAAGTGTCAATTGGACCAGAAATATGTCATGTAAACATGTCAGTCAGAATGTTTTGATCTTTGATCTAGAGTAGGATAGGAATGAAATTGTGCACTTACCTTACATCAATGTGACGTACAGTAGAGTGGTTAATTGCTGTGGCTAGCTGCAATCACAGTATTTGAATAAGCATATTTTTCGTGACAAATCAGCCAACCAGTCAAATTAGATCTACTGTGGCTGCTTCTTCTGATTGCTTAAGCCCTTTTAAATGGTACAATCTGATTCTTTTTTTTAATAACTTGAATGTATCTCATTCATTTTGTACAATCATAGATCATAACTATTATTCTCTGTTGAATTGTACAGAATGCTTGATTAAATGTTTGAAAAATCCTTCATGGCTTCAGATTTTTTGATTTTGAAAACTGGCCTTGATGCAGTGCTCTATAAAGGATATTCCCTGTTTTTTGTTTCTTATACATTTAAATTCCTATATATTTTAAATTAGTGGATTTCCTTACCTTATTTGTCCAAAGTTATTCTAATGAGGAGATGGCCCTCTTTGTACAAACTTTTGCTTTTGGGAAGACTTGCTACCGGTGTGTGCCACGATCTTGCTCCTGGCTGCTTGAACAGCTGTTTGTCCTGGGTGGTTTTGGCGTGTGACGGCTGTGGTGCAGGGTCAAACTCCATGTCACATTGTTCTGACCCAGCGTACGCCTGCGGTGGCCTGGTCACAGCCAACAAAACCGGCTTGAGAGTGTGCAAATTGCATGGTTGTGGTCTGAGGGAGGCAAGCGGTGGACCTTGCAAGCGAAATGGTTTGAAGCATGGGTTTTTTTCAACCCATGATCATGGGAATCTATAAATGGGCACATCTCTGTTTAGTGCCTAAATTGGAAAACATAAATTTTGCATTGTCCTGCTGAGTAACCAGTTCCTTCTGAGACAGCAAGAGATGCAAAATAGAAAAAATTATAAAAGAAATGGCTATAATTACACCTTATTTTAGGTGTAGGTATTTTGGAGCTGCTAATACAGTGATTCCAGCATTGGCTGAATTTATAAGCAAACTGCAGAGCTGCTTTTGCTTCCTTGCACCAGCAGGGAGCTTCAAAAACACAAAAATAAATACAGAATTATATACAAATGGGATATATTATAAATTTAGATAAAATAAAGGTTGATAATTATGTGGTTGAGGTAGCAGATATAATTTATTGTATTCTATTGTGTAAATTTTTCCCCTGGAGTCATAATCTATCATTTTAATATAAGAATTAGAGTGGAGATGAAAACATTGCTAAAAATTAAGGGGAAATCAATTTGCTAAACTTCTTTTTAAAGGCCCATAAAACGCTGAATAACTCCATGTATTCACACTCTGTAAACAACACCATGACAATAAATTGAATCCTAACAACTTTCTATCTTTGTGTCTGTTTTCTTCTTTGTAGCGGAACCAGCAGACCTCTTGAAGATTTTAGATTTTCACAATTTACCCGAGGGTGTTACAAAAACGACGGGTTTCTGCTCACATAGGAGGTCAACACAAGGGCCCGATGTGGCGTACAGAGTAACCAAAGACGCCCAGCTCACCGCCCCCACCAAACAGCTTTACCCAGGTGAGTGTCTCTGTCAAGGCTTTGACTCTTATTCATAGTTTAGAGGTAATAATTATTCAGATGCACTAATCTGGAATTTTTTGGCTGATTTTTTATACCACTTTTGGCCAAATGCTCCTAAAGAACATTACATATCAACAATGTTTACTTTGTTAAATCCAAGCAAGATCCAGGTTCAAGGTTCTGACTCACATACATAGAATATAATCAGTTTATTATATTTATACAATAAACCTGGATCTTACAGTGTGCTTTTTTGAAAGAAAACAACTTAGATGTCCAGTTCAAAGCTTTTCAATGAAAATGAGGACTTTTCCCCTAAAAGTCCCACAGCAGATATGTGGGATCCAGCCCTTTAATATTTGATGTCGTAGGAGGAGGCCGGACAGTGGGAATGCAGTGAAAGCAGGGGTGGGAGAGAGGATAGGGGGAGATGGGGTTGCTCCACTTTTCTCTTGTTTTGCTGTGCTGACGTGGCTCTGGGCTGCTGCTCTTTTCTCTTCTTCCTTTCCCTTGCCTGTCTTTTACCCCCTCAAGCATTATAATTTCTTTTCCCTATCATTTCTCCAAGCCTGCTGCTGCCCCGCAGTGTTTTGTTCCTTTCTGTTTTTATCTCATTTCCATCGTGTGATCCTTGCTGAACTCCAGAGAAGCCACTGCGGTGAGACTGAGCTTAGTTTCGATAAAACCCAGATTGGACGACATCCTCAATGACGGTTCTGTCAGAGGCTAAGCTGGTCTTTTCAATTGCTGCCGACTCTTTCTTTGTGCCTTAAATTGAGCCACGAGGCTTCTGTGGCTTGCATGCACTTACACGCTCTCCAATCAAACAAATGCCTTTTTACTTTGATGCTCAATGACAGCGCAGCCCCTTATGAGTCTTTGTTTAGACACACATTGCTATAATTACACATGTGCTGCTTTGGATGATCCGAAATAACAGTCCACATAAAACAAACCAACTGAAGGGGGTTATATCAGGCACCTCATTGTCTTTAGGTGCAAACACACTAACCAGCTGTCTGTGGCTTGAGAGATTTAAAATCCAGCCCCCACATTTGTGAAGCTGCTCCTGTCTCGCCTCTCTGATGACAATATTCGCTAATATATTCCAGAATGCAACAACAAGACTGACATCACCTTATTATCCCCTCTTATTGGTAGTTATTATTTTGGCTCACAGTACTGTTTGCTTTAATAATCTGCACAGCATCCTTTTCCTATGAAACATTACAGAAAAAGTCACAGACAGAGCAGTAAAAGAAGAAAGATGTGAAAATATGGTTCTTTAGTTCTGATTATAGAATAGGAACCACAGCAGCTCTGATTGGGAACACTGGCCTGTGACCCAGTAACCACAGACAGTCTGCGATGATGTGTTGGAAAGGAGCAAGCACAGACATGCAATCATTAGGCAAACATGTGGAAGAGATGAATCATCTAAAAACCACTGAGGCTTTATAAACACTGGAGCCTTTTCTTACCTTTATTACCTCAATCACTGGTGGCAGAAAAGGAAGTGTCTGGAGAAAATGGATAATAGCCAACTAACAGCTGCTCTTGGCTTTTCTTTGAATCATATTAGTGGTAATTTAGCATTTGTTCAGATTCGGTCAAAACTCCCAAAAGACTGTACCAATAATCTTAAATTAGGGTCATAAAAGGCAGGATTAAATCCTTCAATTGATAGGAATCTTGACATGGTTTTGCTGGTTTTAAATGGAGTGATATTTAATAATATGATAAGTAATTTCTTCAGATAAAGCTAATCACTTAACCTAAATTAAGTGCATTTATAGATCTTATCCTTAGTAAGTTAGTAAATAATTGCTCAGCTATTAGCAATAAGCAATTTGTATGAATTATTAGTGTTGGCCAATGTTTATTTCTGTATTGTTTCCATTTCTGTACGCGTTTTCCAAAGTTGAGGGAGGAAGCTGGTCATGTCGTGATTGTTTAAGCATTGTTTAACAGTGATAGTGATGCAAGGCAGGATTGTAGACTGTCAAGTTAAAGTACAGGTAATGGGTAAGAAAAAAAAGATAATATAGCTAAATATTAGTTATATAAATGTTCATATCGATGTTGACCCAAAACTTTTTTTTGTTTTACAAAATGTATTGGGATCAATAGTGCAAGATTTACTATTTCTGAAGTAAATACAGCTTGATAATAAAGTTCATAGTGAGTCTTTCTACTGCAGTCATCCGTTTTAGGGTGTTTTGGTTGAATGCAACAGATTTTTTTAAGAAGATAGTAAAACATCCAGCCACAATCATTAAAAACAAAACAAAGAACCAAAGACATTGTTCTTGAAATTCCATTTTGGTTAAACTGTTGTTCTGGTGGGAATAACAATGTTACCCAGTTACTGGGTAAGCCGCTTTAACTCTATATTACTGTATTTTTGCAACAAACCCAAGCCAGCATGAATTCCAAAGTGACTTTCTGTCCAATTATGGAGAAACCAGTTTGATCCAGAAGAAAATATCATGTCCTTCCTACAGAGTTCTGTCCTATTGAGAGATCTCAGTCCAATTTCCAGTTTAATCAGAGTTATAATGCAACGCACATGTGCTGTTATGTCACTTGGTAAAAGGGACTAGTGGATTATATCCACAGCAAGTAGGAGACAACAATAGAAATGAACCAAACTCTTCAAACTTAAGAGAGTCCCAAAAGAGCAATGGTCTCTGTGGGCAGTCTTCAGCCAAAAGTGGCTAGAATTGGAGGGAAAGGCTGCAATCAAATTGAAAACTGAAAAACATATCCAAATTCTGTCCCAGAAATGATGCCATTTCAAGATTATAAAGATTAGAGTTTTTGATTCTTCTCTGGATTAAACCAATTAAAGGTATAGTGGAGGATGTTCTTTTTCCAGGCGGGTCATCAAAATAATTGGTCCTCCTAAGTGTCAATCATTCTGGTGATATGTTTACATAAGGCCATCCTACGTACTCATCCCCGTTTTCTTTTAATGCTGGTGAGTCTGACATAGTGGAAAAATTGTAAATCTTCTTTTGGAAAGTAAGCTTGTATGAGCGATGCAAACAGCACCTTTTAAACAGAGTGTGCACGAGGAGAAATGGGCCCGTGCACGCTCTCACACACGTTTAATAGGCGTTTGCTCTCAGGAGCATGTGCATTTTTTTTTGTAAGTAGAGAGGGCTGGTCTTTTAAAACATTCGAGACAATCCTCCACAATACCTTTAAGAGAAGCTTGGTAATATTCTGGTGAAGATTCTCAGTCATCCAAGTCATAGTCATTCCAATAAAATGACTATGGGTTCAATTTGCATGTTTTCTAAGCCATGACAAGGCTTTTGTTGGGCTACACTAGAAAGCCTGGAGATCCTGGAAAGCGAAACGTATTCAAACTTGGAGAAAAAAGTTTGGTGGTTTTGTTTTTAGCTTTTTCTTAAGCTTTGTAATAGTTTTTTCTCTCCTTGAATTATTATTTTTTGAAGATAAACATCAAATTTGCTGCTTACATCTTGATAAGAAATTGTATTCATGCCATCATGTCCGGTATAACCTTTTTAGGACACTCAGTGAAATACTTTGAAAACCTAAATTTCAGGCCAATAGTTTCATTTGAAAACAGGACAAGACCTTATTACCATTGTAACATTCAAAAACTATAGATATTTTGATAGCAAAAATGAATGTCAATGCAATAACAAATGCCAACTTGCCAGAATATACTAAGAAAAATAACAAAAGTACTTCTATAAGAAATCCATGAAAAACACTCTCAGAGTGAAAGAACAATGTTTGGTACAGCATAACCTTTGAGGCATTAATGCTAATACTGGCACCTACGTTTTTCTTAGTTTATAAACATAAATGTAATTGTCAAATAGGCTTATTAACTTTTCAACTTTACTTTTTAACTTTTCATTTCACTTTTTACTTTTTTTTCTTGACTTGTTAACTTTTTTTCCAACTTAATTTACAGTAGGTAAAATATCATTCAAGGGCTCATCTAATTCAAATGCCAAAAAAAGATGTACAGCCATGTAGCAGTATCTTTGCTGAATGGCTGGATATAGATCTTGTGCTTCTAGACCTCACTTAGGGATGGGGGTACTCCATTTGTAAGGGGTATGCAAGTGATCAAAAACGCTAACTTGCCCTATATAGGGTTAATAGTTTTAGTTTTTATTTTACAGCATAGTTAACAAAATCCCCCTGAACGCCTTAAAATAAGTCTATATAAACCCCCGATGACCCCAGAGGCTTTTTTTTTCATAGTTCTCTAACAGTATGTGCTTCAATTTTTGTCCTTCATCCTCCTTATTGTGCATGCTAGAAAGAAACATTGCTTCCAGCTCTTTAGATTAAATGATAAATTCCATTATAGATTTGGGTAAATTTAGACAAATCTGTATTTTCTATGTATTTTATTGTAGCTGTTTTGCAACTTAAAGCACACAAAAACCTGAAATAAATTGTCCTCAATGCAGATAGATAGCTACGGTATAACCCAGAGAAAAATAAAATCATTGTCTAAAAGATGATATTTCTAGATACTCTGATGAAGTTGAAAAAGTAAGATATTCAAATAAATGTAACAAATGCTTCACTTACATTTTCTAATTCTTCTTTTATACATCTTTAAAATGGGTGCCAATGTGCATGCTTCAACTCTTACTGCTCCAAAATCCAGGACCACTGAAAAACTGATGATTCATGCATAGATAGAAATGTTTACAGGGGCAAGGGAATAATCTAATTACAGCATTTTGGACTTTCCACCTCATTAAATTGCTTTTAAACACACAAACTGATGGCAGAACTCATAAGAAAAAGTGCCAATAGGAGGAATTCTAACTCTATTAAGTTTTACATATTGTACTTTGCAAAAGAAGGAAATTTAATTTGGTTATTCCCTTCATGGAAAATATATCAGATTATTCCTATGTGCCTGCTTTAGAAGTCTGGGTTTCTCTTCTTGGGTTTCTGCTTTTTCCTAATCTTCGTTGGCCCTGAACTGCTGGGTGGTGATGCCAGTGTAAACTCTCCGAACCTTTGGCACATTACTACCGTATGTCAGCAGAAGGCAGAGAATCGTTACCACTAGTTTAAAATAGATGCATTCAAAGAAAAAAAATACAAAGAAAAAAAATACTCCTGTGTTTGACAACCCGTTATTTTCTGAGAACAAGGAATCATTTATTTTAAATTTTTTTGTTTTCTGTGCTTCTTGACTATTATCTATATTTCATTGGAGGTCATTGCAGGACATTGGGTATTTAATGCAATGAAATGGAGATTTGGGCGGGGCTAAAACACAGAAGCCATAATAAGGAAAAATAATTTTTGCTTATTATGGCTCCTTTTTGCTTAAATTGACTTTGCTTCTTTTTTTTTCACTATGCAGGAACAAGAAGAATTATGTAAAGTTTTGCTTTATCATGTTTTTGTTTATGAGGACATCATTAAAACTATTCAGTGCTACATTAGAGCATGCAAACTTTGGTTTGGAGACATTACTTTAAAACAAGATGTAGACCCACAGCTGGTTTGTAATTGTCCCTCTTGCATAATTGGATGGAATAACATAGACCAGACTACGCTTCAACATTGGGCATAAATCAAAAATATCTGCGACAAGCTCACTGCGACCCACTGCTGTGGGAGCATAACCAGCCCTTTAGTTGTTACTTCAATCTTTTCACCATTTTAGATTTTTCCTCTAATCTTTGTCTTCCCTTTTTAAGACTCAGCCTTTCTAAACCCAATTCAACATCTGCCAGTTAAAGCAATGCTTCTCATAAGAAACCAAACAGAATTCCAGAGCGAGGATGCTGCCAAGGCATGTGTTGTCCACATGATGCGATCTGAGGGTTATTGTAGAGATGAGAGAAAAAGGCAGGAAGACGAGGCAGTAAGCAAACAGACACCTAGTTACTAACAAGTAAAGGAAGAGAGAAGATATGAAGGGGAACATAAAGAAGGCAGACATATACTAATTTGACTCTAAGAACTTCTCTTCCTTAATCTAAATAGAGGTTTACTCACCCCAATTTCCTTGAGCCACCATTTTTCTCCACATAATTTACTATGAGCAACCCATCAGTAGTGATTGCAATTTAACATTCCCTAACTAATCCCAAGTAATTTTGTAAATAATGGCATTAAACAAATCTTTGATGGCGTTTCAACAGTATTTCATCCCTAAACCCTACTTCTCTCTTCTGCTTATTTGGAAACCACAGAAGACATTTATAGAGATCTAGTGGTCTCTTTGCTTATGTTACACTTAGTCCACAACACAGCGTCTTCATAACAGTCATGACTTTAATCACTTTTTCAGGATAAACATGAAACATTTGTAGGGATGTAGCACTGCATTGAGCATATATGCTTGCAAATGCATGACACAAGATTATGGTAACTGGCCAGAGGCGAGGCCGCCATACAGTTGGCGACAGCAGGACACACCTTGTCCCTCTCCAAGGACACACCTTGGAGAGGGACGAGGCGGGGTTTCAACCAACTCAATGGTTACAGGGTTAACCTCAACCTCCTGAGCTTTTAGCAGTTTAATTATAGCTAACCTTTATTTAGTTTTCATAAATAAGGTTTTTAAAAAAAATCAAAAGCTGTTTATTTAAACAATCTTATATCAGCGTAGAACTTTCTAGTCTCAATTTAACTGGTTTGTTTCACCACTGTTTTTCATGCTTAACTATTTCTACCATATCTTGAAGAAAATCATCTCTTTTTGTTTTTGATTTTTTCAGAAGCTTAAAATAACAGTATTTTATATTTTATTTTTTACATAACTGATTGCCAACAGGGGGTACTCGTCCCCCTAGTGGTCTGCCAGTGCATTGCAAAGGGTACATAAAAATATTTTACTTCTCAGGTAATAAAATGAAATAGGGCTGGGATCTAATAAACTTTGTGAGGACGCAACTAAAAAATAAAACACACTTTTTTCAACCAAATAGTAAGTTTTTCTTATATTTTTGAATTCATCTTCAGGTTTGACTCACATCAAAACCAAGTAGAGTAAAAGACTGGATGTAGAGAACGGTATTAGCTGTTTTTAGCTTATTAAAGCAGCTCAGGTGTCATGAATGTTAAAAAACAAAGTAAAACTAATTAAGTCTGACTATAATTTTTGTTCAGTATTTTATTCCCAGTTCTTCAAGTTTAAATGTGATTATAAGGGAGTTACTCAGAGGAGCTGAGCTTTTTTTTTTTGGAATTTATATGGATTCCTTACTAACTTCCAGGCAACATATTTATGTTGCTTTTTTTTTATTTGAGTTGGAAAGAATAAAATGCCAAAAGATTAAATGCTCAAGTTAAAAAGATGAAATATAATAGTATTTATTTTACGTACTTACAAAATGCCCAAAGGGGTAAAAAGGTTGTGAAACACTGCTATAGATTTTCAAACTTTTACTCTTTAAAAGGGGTGAAATATCCCTTTAACTCCATGAGTTACCAGCTAACTAGTTACTAGTTGTGATGTTTTCACATTCACAGTGTGTGACCCCCCCCCCGCATTCTAAAAATACTGACAAAAAACAATATAAAATTCTTTAAAAGTGTCTGCAGCACTTTTATACCCGTATTGTCGAATTGTCCATGCAGATCTCTCAGTACTTTTGAACATCAGAACAACTTCCCCTCTTCCTTCGAAATAAGGGTGTCAAACAGCTCTTTACTAAAATGCTTGAGTCTTATTTGATGACATGGAGTCACATCCGGACAGCAGCTGGATGGTGGCCATTTCTTTTAAAATAGACTCTAATCTATTTAAAGCTAAAAAAAAATTTGAATCTACAGTACGACACTGGAGGCAGTTCTTTCCCCTGAAAGTTGAGAGTTTTTCCTCACTGTAGCTTCTGATTGCACCCTACCAGGAGAGAATTTGTCTGGCAGACATAACTCCATACTTTGGCAGAAATGAGGAAATAGTTGAGTCTCCACATTGGAACTATGCAGATGGAGGCTAACGGATCGCTTTCATATCTTCTATGTGATCACATACCGATAGGCTGTTGGTATTTCCATTTCTAAATATTTGCCTTTATAATAATGTGGAGTGTCCATGTCTGTTGGATACATCATCTTGGGATGGGAGGAAAAAGTGAGGAGGAAGAGTTTGAAGGATAGTTTCTTAAAGTCTCCCAGGATCAGATGTTTTTGTCATTAACTCTCTTCATCCTGTGTTGTACTGGAAATAATCCACTTTGTATTTCTCTTTCTGCACTTTTTTCCCCCCTTTAACCAGGATCTGGTCTGCCAGCAGCCCTTCTCACATTAATCCTATCCTGTTGCACACTTGGCACACTTCACATCACTGTTGTTTCCTTTTGCTCCTCAAAGCCAATCGTAATAGTTACTCACTTTCAACCGATCTGTCCATTTAAATAGCAATAACAATATTATGCATCCTCATGACACTAAATCTGTCTACTGACATAATACTACAATTGCTTTTCAAGCCAGAAGCTGTATTGCAACCCTCTCATGATGAGGAGTTTTTTTCTGCAACTCGTAACTCTCTAAAAACTCTTTCTTTTTGTTTAACCCCATACCTTATCTCTCAGGTGATGCTTTCCCTGAGGATTTCTCCATCTTGGCCACAGTAAAGCCCAACAAGGGCAGCCAGTCCTTCCTGCTGTCCGTATACAATGAACAGGGCATCCAGCAGCTCGGACTGGAAGTAGGACGATCCCCTGTATTCCTCTACGAGGACCATACTGGTAAACCCAGCCCTGAGGACTACCCGCTTTTCAGAGGAGTCAACCTGGCCGACGGAAAGTAAGTGCATTAATGTGTTGATCTTTTATAGCAAAAAAATAAAAAATATTAGGCTTCTTATTTTATGTAAACTATGCAAAACATGCTTTTCATCTAGAACTGAAACAGTCAATCGGATTAATAATGATTAATTGATTAATGGAATATTCGTCAAGTAATTTAGTAACCAATTAACCATTAACTGAAGTATAGACACTCTACATGTCTTTAGCTGACAGAGTGATCCACATAGAGCAGTTATTAAACCAAGATTGTAAAAAAATATATAAACATTTTGCATTTAAGTAAAAAAAAGAAAAACTTCGTCTGTCATTATGCTCTATCCCAAACTCATCAAGTGGAAATATATGAGTTACACCTGGTTTGATATTGTAAAGTTTTCTTTAGGGAGCCTTTTGCTATCCGATTATTAATCAATTAATCGAAAAACTAATCAACAGATTAATCGATGAGCAAAATAATCAGTAGTTGCAGCTATAGTTTCTACTGAGCTGATGTTATTAAATGTTAAATGTTGGTACAGAAAAAAAACGTTTAGAGATTTAAACACTTAAAGGTTGTTGAGAATTTTTTAAAAGACTTCACTTTGAAAAAAATGGCGCATGAAAGAGCATGCATGAGCCCATTTCTCCTTGTGCACGCCCTGTTTAAAATGTGCTGTTCTCATAGCTTATAAAAGCTTACTGTGTCCATATGCAGCAGGGACTATATAGTGGTCTGTATAACAAACTCAGTTAACTGCCCGTTCGGAGACATGATCCCTGCTTTTTGCCCCATTGGTCACGTAACTCCTCCACCGTGCAGTGCCTGCGCCATCTTTGTTATTAGTCAGCGCTGTTGGGTGGCGACAGCGGGCCGCTGTGACAGCAACTCCCATAATGCTTTGAGAGGAGAGCCATCTGCGCAAAGCATTCTGGAATATATCGGTCTTTTTTGAGGCCATTCTTTTCTTTGTAGACACTTTTCTTTTCCATTTTTAAAGAACCGCGGTGAGAAAGGTGAGCTTCAATGACTGTTTGAAACCGTAGCTCACCACAAATATGTGGCTGAAAATTTGCATCCTCAAAAAAAAGATAGCTAACGGGGCGAGCATGCAGGACAGCCTTACGTTAACATATCGCCCGAATGATTGACACTTATTTAGATTATCCACTGGAAATAAAAGATCGTTCTTTATACCTTTAGTGAATTGTGTAACCATATGATTTAACAGGCCTTTTGGACATTAATTATCCCTGACTTGAGGTGAAAGAAAATATAAATACAGACCTTTTTAAAACATTTTTCAACCACCTCAGTCAGTGGTTTCCATAGTTAGCACAGTTACAGTAGTTTCACCAACTGCTGTCCAATGAATGCAAGGTTGTACAATGTGTACATAGGAGCTTTGCAGAACGGCTCGCTGAGGTTGAAGTTGAACAGCTTGAGTACCGAAATCAAACAATATGACTTTAATATTTTCTAAATAAATATGAAGAACGACCTTATTTTCAGCTCTGATGCTAGTAATGGATTGGTTCTGCTCCTATTGATTGTTTCTTTCTCTTCATTCAGAACCTTGTATATTTTGCTTTGTGGCATTGTTTCCAAGGTGTTTTTATGTCTCACTTGTTATTATGTCATTTGTATTTCTTATATTCATTTTTTCTTTTTAATCATTGCATGACTTGTACCCATTTTAACGGGCTTTGCAGTAAACCTTTTGTGTTTCAATGGCAGACAGACAAGTATACTCCTCTAAGTGTGTTGATTAACATTACCTCCCATTGGCAGGTGGCATCGAGTGGCCATCAGTGTGCACAAGCAGACCATCACCCTCTTTCTGGACTGTAAAAAGAAGACCACCCAGAAGCTGCTCCGAAGCCCCAACCCCATCATTGATACCAAAGGAATTATAGTGTTTGGAACTAGAATACTTGATGAAGAAGTCTTTGAGGTAGGTCATATGCTCTCTCTCCTACTCTGGACTATTTTGAGTCGAGCTGTAGCTGCTTTCGCACCGTATGTATTTATAAATTTGGATATGCACATAAAATTGTGAAAGCTTAAGAATGGCTGTATTGTTCGGTGAAGCACATTTACAAACTGAGTTCTTGTTTTAACTTTGATTTGGCCTCTTTTCGTAAGATAGATAAAAGCCAAGTGCAATCTCTATTTTCCCATCAATAGAGACATATGTGGCTGTGGGCTGAGCATCGGTCAACCCCAGTGCCTATCCCTCCTTACATGCTGCATAAAAGGAGTGATTGTGGTGCTGGCCACATCCTCTTGAAGATGTGCAGATTGGGCCCACAAGAACCCCACCAACCTCTGCCACACACTCATACTCAGGCACTCAGAATCACAAATCACACTTAATTTTAGGTTTCCTTATGTTCCGCAGAGTCCACAAATGAGCTCTGTTACCAGTAATTCTGCTCAGTTTCCAAATGTGCTGCGTATGTTTGCTGCTAAGATGTCTTCAGGCTTCCAACTCCATGTGGCTGCTCACTCTCCACACTATTAGTTATCTGTTGGAGGTTTCCCGTCCGGACAAGCTGCAGCATTTTTAACATGCAGATACATGCTTTTGATTCTTTAAAGCTTTCTTTGGGCTTATAGAATCTTTGAAGAGGATATATTAGTTTTGTTATATTGTAACTATCTGACAAGAAGCCTTTTGGCGATTATTTTACAGTGAATTAACCTGCTATGGCTTAAATCATGTTTTTTTTTTTTTTTTTGTAAACCAGCTTTTGTGCTGGGTATTTAAGCGTGACCCCTGTGCAGGACGTGCTCGCACACCAAAAATACAGCGAGTACAAGTGTTGTCTTTGTCCCTTCAGAGTTGCGCTTGTTTAAAGGGAGATTAGTCCATGAAGTTGAGGCCCTCAATAATAATTAGTAACAGAAACAGACTGATGTGACTGATGCTGAGCCAGCTGACCTTTGACCTTGCTGCTGCATAGCAAAGGCACACAGAAAGAAGGAAATATGACATCATCTCCCTCTACAGTACTTAGAGTTCATCGGTCAGTCTATAGGAGGCACTGATATATAGTGGGATCTGAAGCCCAGGGGGACATTTCTTTGCTATTACAGCAAGCCTTCAAAGCTCTGCTTTGTAATTTAAAAGTTGGACATGCATTTAGATTAATCTCTTCTGAGTTAATACTTTGAAGAACCATATTTCACTTCATTTACAGCTGCAAATGCTTTAGTTCTTCTTTTGTAACCTCTGCATAGCTAGAGACTATGTCTACCCATTTCTCTTTGCAGAATAACCCAGGTTCAGTCAGACTGGATTGAGAGTGTCTGCAGACATCACTTTTTAGTTTTTTTCAGAGGGACTTTGGGCTGGGTTATTCATAAAAAATTTTTTTAAGCTGAACCATTATATTTCATCTCCGGCTGTAGGATAACATTTTATTTAGATGCATCCATCTACTGTATCTTTGACTAGGTTTTCTGTCTCCACTGAAGAAAACAGGATCCTCACAGTATTATGTTCAAAATATTTGGCTGTGAGGATTGTTTGTTAAGGGAAGTGTGCTATATTGTCTTCTTCCACGTGCCATTTTTCATTACAGCCAAAAAGTACCATTTGGTCTCATGTGAGCAGTACACCTTCCTCCTTCAATATCCTAGAATAAACAGGTTCCGATAGTGGATCACTCATTATTAGAAGTTATTTTTTCCACAGGATCATGTACACTTTTAGTTTTTAAAGAGTTTTATTTAGTCAGATTGAGGACTTATAAGAATGGATTTTAAAGGCAGCAGACTTCTTGTTTAGGTGGGCATTCATGTTATGGTTGGTTTTAAGTTATTTTTTAATTTGTCCAACAAAAGGCGGATGTTTTAGGCTGTCTTTGACCTGCTTGGTGCTTTTATGTTGTTTCTTTCCTGATGTTCTCCGGAAAAAAAAAAATCTATAGTTTTGCTAATAGACTTTAAGTGAAGCAGGAAGCACATTCTCGGCATTACACGTATTATATTTTAGGTATTTTATTATTAAAACTGAAATTACTTATAAAATAATAACATATTCATATATTTTTCTCATGTACTTATGTATACCTTTGCTGATTTTAATCATCATTGACTGCTACTGTTATTAGGGAGCAGTTTACGTCAGCTTTTTGTATATTTATGCTTTGCCAGTTACGAAATTCTTGACTTGAGACCGGAGTTTCAGAGAAATATCTCAGCCAGCCATCAGCCAGCGTTGCAGCAACAGCTCGGCAGCAACTGTGGGAGCAGACAGATTGTTTGGAAGAGATGTTTAAAAGCCTCCTGCTGTGCGTCTGTCAGTCGGGAGACATGACAGGCTCCAGTGCGTTCAGAAACTGGAAAAATATGCCACATAGTTTCCAAATTATCCTCAGGCTGCTCTGCCTTTTTTCCCATTACTCCAATCCCCCCTTGGTAGTTTAGCCTGATAGCGTGTTGACTTTTTGCCAGATTAAGAAATCACTAAGACAGAAATGGTTAAGATTTTGTTGTTTAAAATTAAAATAATGTTATTGTCTTTTGATGAGGAGAACAAAAAAAAGCCAAAAAAAAGGATAATTTCTACTTTCCTGTAAATACTGTTCTAAAGACAGAGATATGATCTGTTCCTTCACACCATTAAGTAACAGTGAATGGTATGATTTAACTGCTTGTCAAGCTTTTTACTGCAGGCTGTGCTTTTTTTCCTGATATACAGCAGTCAGGGGATAAGTAGCACTTTTACGCTGAGGTGGTTTTGTGGTTTGGTCTCTAACAAGGTTATTGTGGCAGCAGAAAGACTGTCTATCTACTGCTAGTACTGTATGTTCTTTTTTTTCAATAGCAGCTTACATAAGAAGTCTGTGCTTGTGATTGTGCCAGTGGAAGATGATTTAATTGGTATCGAAGTGTTTACAGGAGAAGGCTGCTATTTTACACTACAACTACAAACTTTAATGCATCTTAATGGGTCTTTAGGATGATAAACTAACACAATCATAGCTCAGGAGGAGCAATGAGGCTCTTAGGTTGGAAAATGTATGATCTTTATAGAAGTGTTGATAATAGGCAGCTAATTAGTTTAATTTGCTGTTTTTTGCCGAATTGGATACAGCAGACTTGTGGAAGAGGTCCCTCCTGTCTCCTCTTGTTTCATATTGACAAACTTATGACACTATAAACTATAAAATATAACTATACGATACACTGGGCATCATGTTGAACACACTGTCTACAAGTAGAAGCAAGGTAGTGGCAGCATCATGAGGTGGGGAAGCTTTCTTTTGCAAAGATAGGGAAAACAGTCGAAGTTGATGAATAAGGCTAAATGCATTGCTATCTTTTAGGAAAGAATTAAGTAGTCTCATAAAAAATTAAAAGTAAGGTCAAAGGTTACCTTCCAGGAATAATGTAACCTTAACCATGTGGCAGTACCTGTAATGGAACTTATCATAGGAGATCAGATAATGTTCACTCGTTACATAACCTTTTCAAATTACAGACAGATATCTGGAATCTGTGATGAGAGTTAGAAATTGAAAATAGATGGTCAAAACCATTTTTAAGCAGTCTAAATGAGGATGAGAATTAGAAAACATTTCTGTCTGCTTATGTGCAAAGCTAGTACTGTACCAACAAAATGTCCTGGACTAATGATTGAGTCAGACATATTAATAAAGATATGGATCATATTTTGAACAGTCTTGCTCTCTCTGTCATAACCCTGCTTTAAACTTCTCCCCATGTCCAACTTTAGTCTCCATTATAAGTCTTATAATTTCTAAAAGTTTGTGGCGGCAGGCTGCATATTTTGGCTTTTCTTGTGTTTTTGTTGTTTAATAATGAGGCCTGGATATGCATCAAAGAAAATCTGTGATAGTAAAGCCCATTATTGGGTCCTTGGTGGACTTCTGCAGAAAACCTGTGGTTGATCTGGGGTGGGGGGTGGAGCTAAATTGGGACCCATGGGCTGCTTTACTTCACCTAGAGGTAATTCTTAGGGCATATTTGATCTATCAAATATTGAGCTGCGTGGACATGACAGCTCTTCTCAGGCCTCCATCCTCAATCTTTAGAACCTTGGCAATAAAATACAGTAAACTCATTTAGAGTACATCTAAAGCTGGAGAAGATTCTCATGTCAGTAAAACTGCATGAACTGTTTAGGAAGGAAAGCAACAGAAAAGATGAAATCGTGGATTCAGTTAGAGGTGCCAAAAACTTTGGGTCATCCATGGAAAGAATGAGGAGGTCTCCCCGCTGATTTAAGTCCTGGCACGGCAAGCGTGCCACATGACATCATCCAAAGGTTTCCTTTATATCTTTTGATTGGCTGTTTCATTATCTGTGAGTCATGTACTGAGAAATATACTTAAACCGAATGTTGTGGAATGAAGGATGAGGTTAAAATAATAAGTGAGATAAAGCCATATTAAAAGAGCAGTGAAGCAGTCCAACGGGGGACCTTTGGGTTGAGGCAACTTGTGGGGCTCCACAGTGCAGCAGGAGCCAGGAAAAAGTAGTAAAAATGTGCAACACATGAGCTTGATGCTCGTAATAAACTTTTATATCGCATTAGCCAGATGAGCTGCACATCTCGTTTCCTCATCTGTACTTCAGGACTTTTTAAAAATTTTTTTGCTAATAATCCAACTAACATTTTTGTACTTAGTTTGCTTGAGGTATTCATTTAAAAATAAAATCTTAATGTTAGACTTTCTAAGATAAAGAAATATTTCAGTTTCTTTATGGTAATGTTTTGTAGTTGGCTTCATGGCATTTTTCTGGCTTCCAGTGCTTTTCCTTAATTGTAGTTGCACTTTTTCCAAAGTTAAACTTCAGATTTATGTGGTACAAAGCCTGCTGGGGGTCATTTATCCACAGTAACAGTTAGCTCACTGTGTAATGCATATATAATTGCCCCCTCCTGGAGCTCCCTGTAGGGACCTGGAAATGTCATGCCTT